GGGGTCCAGAAGTCTTTGGTCTTAATATGAAAGAATAAAGATAAAGCTTTGTAACTTGGCACACATACTATGATATCTCTATATAGTCACCATGCAGAGTAACACATTTCTGCCACTTCTCTTTGACCATCAAAAGTCCTTGAAAGAAAAATGACCAAGAATGGGCCCCTAACCAGTCTTCAACAGATTCAATGGTGACCCCGTTTTCATGGAAACGATATTCTTTGAGTGATTTTTTAAAGATTTGGAAATAGAAAAAAGTGTGAAGAGGCTAGATCTGGTGAATAAGCTGGGTGTGGCGCGATTTCAAAGCCGCACTGTTCTGCTGTCTGGACTGTTTGTAGTCTCCTGTGACTGTTTTTCCAATTTCCAGGTATCGGTCATGATGATACCTTCACAATCCCAGAAACACGACGGCATGACCTTTCCACTTGATGGTGTTACCTTTGCCTTCTTTGGTGAGGGAGAAGAAGGGGTTTTTCATTGCATGGAGGACATTTTTTTGTTCTCGATCAAAATAATAAATCCATGTTTTAAAGAAATTTGTGTCATTGGACTCAATTGGAAGGAGAACTCAACTCTCTGCTACTTTTGTTCACTTGCTAAAAGGCGGGGTACACACCGCACAGACACCTTATTAATGTTAAGATGGTTATGGAGAATCATTTCAATTGACCCTACACTGATTCTTGTTTCACTCGAAAGCTGTTTAACAGTTATACCTTGGTCATGCGGACCCAGTTTCTTCACTATGGATACTTTCTCTTCAGTTACCACAAAGGATGGGCGCCCTTCATGATCTTCATCCATCACCGACATGAATTCAGATTTGAATTTTCTTACCCACTAGGTCACAGTATTATAACAAGGACATTTGTCACCTTAAACTTGAACCTTTTCCTGAAAAATGTCCAAAGGGGATTTTCCTGGCAAGTGTAAAAACTTGATAACTGAGCGATATTCAACAGGCTCCATGGCACAGCTTCAGCAAAGAAAAACAAAACTTTTTGTGCATAGCTTCATTGAACACGATGACTATTGCCTTATTATTGTCGGATTTTGCCAAAAATTTGCATGATGTATTCCTAAGAAACTGTCTAAAGGCTGTTGAAATTTAATTACTCAACCTTGATTCCTTCATAGCGAGACCAAAGACTTATTGAACCCCCCTGGTATAGTATTGGGATATATCTATAATTACACAACATTGCATAAGCACTTTGTTGAAAGATAAAGTCCTTTTCTATTATCACTAGTAAGCAGCGGAAATGACTAGATTTGATTTAATGCATATATTGTCTCTGTCTCTCATTCTGGCATGACCAACACAACATATCACTTGTGTTCTAGATTTCTTTGTCAGTTATTTTCTTGATGTGTTCTTTATTAGCATATTTGCCTGTGCTGTAGCCATTCCTTGACTTTATGTCTTGAAAGATCGAGTTTCTGGTGCTTTGTTTCATTTACCAACGCCTCATGGCGAAGGTTATGTGATATCTGACATCTGTCACTCGTACCTTGTCAGGAGTCATCTGTGAGTAGACCAAGCACCATGATGAGCATGGACGTAGCCTCGATGTCTTCAAACATGGAGTCGCTGAGACTCATGGATGATTGCAAAGTAAATTCTCAGAGGTGAGCTGATAATGTTTACAAAACCTAAAATTCTAGATTAACTCACTGGACTCTGGCCAGTCCGGAATCTCAATGGTCTCCCTGTTGTACTGGCCATTTTCACAATTTTTCAAAAATTTCTGAGGAATGTAAATACTGAGCTACTGGCTTCATTTTTTGGCACGTATAATGATACATTTCTCCTCTTTATAATACTTTAAACTTTACTTTGTCTTCTTTTAATAATTTTTTCTCACAAATTTTAGAGATATCCCTGTTTTCAGTTTGGGAAAATATTTCTGTTCACTGAATGTGACAAAATATAACACCGAAAACAACTTATTGTAATGCAAAAATATGAGGACTAGATATATGTATCAGTGCTTCCACTCTTCCGTATTTTTACGGAATTCCGTACTTTCTGCCAGTTCCGTACTTGTTCCTACATCATTATCAACTCCCTCCGTGAAAAGCTGCGATTGCGTAGGGCTACCGAAATTCCGTAGCAAAAGATCCGTATTCGCCTTCGTATCGTCTAGTACTAGTATAGGTTACGGATATAACGGTAATTCTCTCGACAAAAAGTTAATGTTATAGAAACCTGCCAGATTGCGCTTTTCCTGCAATCTGCCATGATTCCGCTATGCCCCATGTATTCATTGCGGGTTGGTCGGCAGTACATTTTTACCTGTGGATTGATCAAAATCTGGCGAACTTTTTGTGCCAATTTCCTCCATTGTATCATTCACTCATTCCGTCTATCTTCATATTGTTACTGCAGCTGGAAAATCTGCGCGTTGATCCAGTAAATTGACTTGTGATCTTAGACAGAAAATTACTGTCAGATAGAAACTTTTTTTACAAATTTGTCTAGATCTAGATCAATGATCAATACGAAGATTATGGCACGCGAATGCGATAAGGGCCGCCATGAAAGAAATTTTTGCTAAAACCAGCCTAAAACTACTAAAGTCAAGAATAATTCAAAGTGGTGTATTGAGGTTGTGACATGCGACATTCAGGCGTGAAATTTAAGGAAAATTAGGGTATACATCGGGTAACTGTATTGTGAAGGTACGACTTCTAAGGTCACCAAAGTGAAAGTAGTTTTTCATCAATACTACTTCTGTTTTTAAGAAATTTTCATTTCTGGTAAGTACAATGATTTAACTAAAACTTTGATAAAGAATTATATTGCATTGTTAGATCGTCTTCTGAAAAAAATGCAAAAACCCGATCTTGTCTATGTTTAGGATCAGGGCTCAGTGGATATCCCATCTATGTCCCTGACCAGAGCTCTGTGAGTTAATAGACACATTCTCACTCCTGAAAGAGAAGGCTCTGACTGGTTCTTGAGGTTTGAGAAATAATAGTAATGGTACTCCCTCATTTGGCAAATGGAATGAAAGGGCAAGGAACACACATCTTGGTAGTACAATGGTTATCAATTTTTTTCATATCTGTAAAGGACAATACTTTTTTTCTGTTTTGAGCCTAGGTCCCATAATTTTGATGATGTTAACTTTTCTCTACCACATCATAAACTGATTTCCTAGATGTTCAAAGTGTTGACATTCTGAAACAACACCACCACAAAAACCATCTCGATCTTGTCCTCCATCCATGCTGTTGAATTGAAGAGAGAAACTTTTCTATGAAACTGCTGGGGCTCCCAAAACCTGTATTGCTAATACTATTTATGGGTTGTTGTTGTTTTTGGTTTTTTTGTGAGAATGTAGAAGAGTGATTACTGGGAAGGCAATTTTCTGAATGCTAAATAATGTGTGTGTTCTCTGTAATGATGTTATGAATTTCTGAAAACATTGACTTTAAATCAATGAAAGCTTTTTTTTCTCTCAGTGTCATGAGCATTTTGTGCAAGTCTATTCTAATCTGGTGGCACATCCTTGTCTAGTTCACTCCCATCATTTATTATTTAGAGTACCAGAAGCTGTATCAAGAAATGAGTTTTTAAGCACACAGACTTGCTGTTTGTATGAAATGATCTTTGTAGATTTATTATGATTTTGGTACATATATTGCTAAAGTTGAACTGATTAATGAAAAGCTGGCATGCTTTGGAGAAATGGAGGTAGACGTTTCCTGGAGACAAGAACCACTTACCTACCAATCTGTCCTCAGAGAAAGTTGCATTTGAAAATAGCAAAAGTTGCAAGAAAAATTAGCAAAAGTTGCAAGAAAAGTTGCGAAACGTGTATAGCTAAAAAAAAAAAAAAATGATATGGAACTATTGGAATACATTTATTGGTGCTCATTGCAATCAAAGTAACCAACATGTTTTGTTAGATCAAAATCAAAAGTTACATGTGAATGTCTACCACCCCCAAAAAAAAAAAGCTGCCTGGAGGTTGCATGGGGGACAAAAACAGTTTGTCCCCTGACACATGCGTCAGGTCCTTAATCTCTCACTGACGTTGGGCAGGTGTGAGATATATACACAGAATTCTACACTTATAGAACGGGAACTGTACCATGTGACCTGTGAAGAATTGAAGACCGAAAACAATGGCGTCTTGAGGGCACGATTTATCGTTTTCGGAAGTAACCCTATAGCTTTTAAAGCAAGAGCGGCTTTTACAAACGGGTTAAAAGTGGAACATTTACTGTCCAGTTTGTAATTTTGAGTTACAGAATTCACTGTGCAACCTAGAGATTGGAATTAAGGTTTTAAATTGTTGTGTTTTTGGGTGCAACAACAGAAAAAGCAGACATAGAGAGTTTATAAATATAAGATCTACAGAACTGTGAAAAAATTCGTAACACGGATGGGATTGTTCATAGCACTTCTAGCTTCCCACACACATTTTGCTTACGCATATGGCCTACGTAATTTTTTAGTAGCAAAACTTGTTACAAGAAATTTGTTTTACACTGAACATATTTTTTCACTAGATTTAATTTATGTTCTCAAAACATGCGTTCAATAATTAGCTTTATGTTGCCAGCAGAAGTAGAAAAAAGGACGGACTTGCTTTTAAAAGAGATTTAGCTCCAGCTATAAACTTTTTAAAAATCTGTAGAAACCATTGACTGGGATTTTTTAAATAAATATTGGGCTACTATTTATTAAAGAAATTTCTAGAATAAACGGTTAAGAATTGATATAGATCTAAGCCATTGTGTAAAAGTAGGAGAATCTAGATCTAGGAGTTTGATAGTTCAGTAGCCTAGATATTTGATAATAAGTTGCGCTTCAAATTTTTGACGGCAGTAGTAGAGATAGCATATTATTTTCGTCCGAAACATTCATTTCAGCATCCATACACCTTTTTGAGCCTTTATAAGTACATGTAGTCCTACTTTTATTAGATCTATGTTACTTTCATAATTGTTTTTGAAAGCATTTTCAATTCCTTTCACTTTCACTTCCCACGCGCGGGCACATATAATTATGATTATAATTTAAGATTCCAAATCTGACGAATGTATTATTAAATAGCGTATAATGCTGAGTTAGCCAATGCATTGCAATGCGTGCTATTATCAATTATTGAATTGTAACAAGACTTCAATTTGATCCGTAACAAGAGATCACTTATATTTTTATACGTGTTCATGGATGTGTGTTTGTTTGCTGTGTGCGGGGATTAAAAATTAAAGATTAAAGATTCCAGATCTGACAAGTGTATTTATAAAATAGCGCAATAGTGCTGGGTTAGCCAATGCCTTGCGATACACGCTTTTATCAATTAATTGAATTGTAACAGGACTTTGATTTGATCTGTAACAAGACACCACTTATTTTTTCTTATACGTGTTCAAAAATGTGTGTTTGTTTACTATGTGCGGGCATTAAAGATTCCAGATCTGACGAATGTATTTATTAAATAGCATAGGCCTATAGGGCAGGGGTGGCCAACACATTGCGATACGCACTTTTATCAATTAAGCTAATTGATACAGGACTTCAATTTGATCCGTAACAAGAGACCACTTATTTTTTCTTATTCGTGTTAAAAAATATGTGTTTGTTTACTGTGTGCGGGGATTACAGGGGGACAAGCCCATCCCCTTGACTTGTTATCCAGGGTATGGGGATACATTTTTCTCAAAATGCACACAGCTCTGAAATCTTTGACCAGTGATCACTCGCCATGGAACTCTTTCTGTTGTGACTGTAGACACAAATTTCTTCATTATCACATCTGAATGAGCCTATCATTCATGCATTGGAAATCACACTCCCAACACACAGAAAATGACCTTGAACATATTCAGGAAACATATGCCAGTTCCACTCTTGTTTACTTTGTTTTGCATTATTGGCTTTTATGTGTAAACCAATATTTTGAGGCCTTTTCTGCATTTTTGTGTTTTTGGCAGCATGTACAATAGGCCTATGTATTTTATGTGCAACCAACACATTCTCCAATCTCTTGTATTTGTTAGACTCGCACGTGCTTTAAGGGAGACGTACACTCCCGCAAAAAATTTCTAAACGAATGACTTTTATTCAATTTCATGTAATTGTGCAAGAAGTTCATAGGTAAATAGGATGTACTAGGGGTGAATTTGTTCAATTTTTCTGAAAAATGGGTCTCTGTGGCGGCCATCTTGGATTTTCAAACCTGTTTCTTAGTGCAGACGAATTTCATAGTAAATATTGAATTATCAGCCTAAAATTTGGCACACAAGTACAAACCTATATGAACTGGGGATCTATGAAAGGATTCTGACCTATCTTTAAAACTAAAAAAGTGAGCCCAAAGTCATTGGACCCCCTAGAGTCAGTTGACGAAATTTTGGGGTACATATTACAAAAAAATTGAATATTTCCTCAAGTTATCAATATTTCCCAATTCCCTTTTATAGATCCCCAGAATCGATCTTAAAGCACCTGTACACCAAATTTGAAGCTTCTAGCTTCTATAGTTTTTGAAAACTCCTTGCACCCAGAAGGTCACATATGTCAAAAAGTAGATTTTGAGAAAAACAGAAAAAACAGGGATTTTTCAAAGGATTTTTCGAGCAATTTGCACTTTTCAAACGCCCTTTTAGGT